GTGTGTGTGTGTGTGTATGTGTTTAAGATAGGAGAAACAATAGCATGTCTGTGTGCTGATAAGCATGATCTTTGAAAGAGGGCTACATATGATGCAGAAGAAAAAGGGGAGATTTTGTAGAAGAATATCCTTAAGTAGATAAGAGTATACAGGACCTAGTGGAACAAATGTTGGGTATTCCAAGTGTTGGGTGCAGCCAATTCATCCTTAGCAACAAGAGGTCATTTGGGCATGAATGCAAGTATGATGAGTAGCTGTGGTACAAAGGTATGTTGTGTGTGTGGTAATTCTATTCTGATAGCTTCCTTTTTCCGTATGAATAAGTAGCAAGTTCATCGAGGGAAGGGGAAGATGAGGGGACTTTCCATGGGGAGAAAGTCAGATAGTCCTCTAGGAAACTGGCAGGTGAATTGACCAGAAAAGTAACATGTGATTGCTAGGAAGCATGAAGGAGCTACTTGCAGTTAGTGATCATGAACTTGAAGTGAAATCGATAAGTATTATTTTGTGATTTTCTTTAGCCATGCAGCTGCATACTTGCAGGTGTAGAGGAGGACAGAGAGTTGGATTTAACCAGGATTAGGGTTTATCCAACATTGTGTGATGAGAGAGGCCAACTGAATGACCGACCATGGAGTTGAAGGGTAGGAAGGGAAGTGAGGACATGAAGGAAGTGGGAGACAGTGAGAAGGTGGTAGGAGCAACCACAGGAAGATAGCTGGAGGTCAATACTAGTTGGGCTAAACTACAAAGATAGGAGCGGGGATTGAGGGTGGTGGTGCCTGAAATCAAGACTGTGGAGTTACTTGTTGAAAATGATAAGATCAGAGATATGACGTTGGGGGTGAGTGGCTAAAGTCGCCATCTTTGGAGTAGAGGAGAACAAAGAACTGAGAGACCAGGGGACTAGAATGGTTCTGAATGTGGACGTTGATATCCCCAAGAGGCAGGGCAGAAATAGTGTGGGGAGGATTATAGTGAGCCAGGTGCGAAGATATTCAAGGAATGAAGAAGAGTGTCCTGGTGGAGGGGAAATGACTTCACCAAGGCGGGTAGCAGGCAGCATGGTTTGCACGGGGTTGTGTGAGGGTGAAATGAGTTGGTGCATGTGAAGTTCTCAGCACTGAGCACAGGCTCTGCGTGTCTCAGTGCTTAACCCACTGGATTTATTTTTACAGGGCTGGGGTGGGGGGGGGATTTCTCTTCATTTTAAGACCTTCTAAGGGGCAGAGCTGTTCACATAGCTCTGTGTGCCCCCGGGAGATGATAAATTCCTTGTCACTCAGTGTACCCAATAGACAAAATGAACATCTGCAGCGACAGGGCTGCCAAGGGGATTCTAGCAACCGAAGGTGATGGGTGTGTGAGTGAGTGTGGGTGTAGCAGTTGAAGGACACGGGGGATGGGGAAGGGTGGTATCAGAGCTAGCTTCATCCTGTCATTCAGACGTGACTGAGCCCGTCCCTCTTCTGGCTCAGAACCTGGCTAGATGTAGAGCGGCCAGAAATAAACCTGAAAGGAACCGTCAGTCTGGGTGGGATATCCCATCTGCAAGCAGATAAATGTCACATAGTGTCCTGAGAGCCAGAACGGGCTCACTGGAGTCGCGTCGACCTCCGTGGAGTCAAGAAAGTGTTCAGAGCGCAGGGGCACTTAAGCTGGTGCCAGGGACAGTGTGGGTGCTGAGTGGGTGTGACCCCATGTGAACAGGGTAGGAAAGAACATTTCGTCGGGAGGAACTTTCCTTGCAGGGCAGCAAAAGACGAAAGAGCACAGGGCATTTGGAGTGCCATAATTGAGTTAACGCTGAGAAAATCACTCCTCTTGCCTATTTTAGTTTCCCTATCTGTAATTTGGGAGAGCAATGGTACACACAGGGTAGGGCCTGGTGAGAAGCAAATGAAATGATGCATAAAATTTTTGTCACAAGCCCTATTGTGATCCCTTTGGGTGTATTACCTTACTTGATTATTTAAACACTCCTACGAGATCAGCTCTTTTATTATTATTCCCATTTTACAGATAAAGAAGCTGAGTCTTAGAGGGTTGAGTAGCTTGCGGGAGGTCATGTAACTGGTGAGAGACAGTTTGGACTCTTGCCCCGATCTGTCTAATCCCAGAGCTCTGACCCTCAACCCTGAAGCTAGTCAGTGCTGAGCACAGAGCTAGTGCTAAATAAACGGTAGCTGTTATGGCCATGATTGCTAAAGTTTCTCACCCGGAGGATTGAGGACTCTGTTATAACTTCTGCAGCGGGTTGAAGTTCACCAGGCTGCAATCTCATGAGCAGCAGTGACTGTTTCTGGAAGACTCTTATCACCTACCATAGATGTACATCAACAGTTGCACTACTTTGTTTCAGCTAGTTGGTTTTTAGAAATCAAGAGCAGGGAGTGGTTGCTCTGTCCTAGGAGGGCAAGTTGTTCTGAGCAGATGTGATTGGAAGGGGGAGGAAGATCTGCGTTAGCTGCACTCCTCTGCTCTCTGGGCACTGAACTCAAACCAAAGTCGCATGCCCCGGCAGCTTACTTACCGGGGGGATGGCAGTGAACCAGCATAAGCAAGAGGCGTCACCTAAAGAGCAGCGGGCTGCCCGCGGTGTTCCTCATGAGGGGGCCAAGAAAGAACCTTTTCCATCAGTGATGCCTGAGGAAAGCACAGACCTCTTAAGAGCTGGTGATCCTTCATTCACTCCACAAATAATTATCTGCCACGTGCCATATACTCCTCTAGGCCCTGCAGATAGTAGCGAAGAAGGCTGACAAGCTTTCCACGGAAGGAGTTTCCATTTTTAGTAGAGGAGGCAGACGGTAATCAAATAATAATATGAATGCCCGCATAATTGCAAACTCGTGCCACAAAAGTAACATCCATGACTGGGAAAGGGGTAGGGCTCTCAGAGATATTTTCAGACTCTCCCAGAAGTCTGCCCGAGAGCTAGTGCTTTGAACAGATGAGGAGAGCCCTGAGTTTTTGACAAAGATCACCAGGACACCTCTCACTTTTGCCCCCTCAGACAGACCCACGGCCCGCCCACACCTGCCCACCTGTCAGTCTGAACCTCAGGCCTGCTGGGCGGGCGGGGGCCTCCCCCTCGGTCGGTCGTGGGAGGGAGCCAGCTGTGGCCACCGTGGCTTTCTCTGCGCTCTGTGAGGGCTGCATCTCTTAGGACAGGCTTGGAGACCACCCCGACAGCGGGTATCGAGGTGACACACAAGGTATTTTCAGTATCATCCCTAACAGTTTCGCCGTAATTACTCCACTGACATCAGGAGCACAATAAAGGAAGTCAGACTGAGAGATGAGAAGTCCTCTCTCAGCTTGTTCCTCAACTGTTTTCAGGTCTCAATCATGTACATTTTTTCTAGATATTTGGACTTGAGTAACTTTTCGTCACAATGGTGTATGCACAGATAACGTTCTCTGTTTCACTTTTTTGTTTTAATATTTGAAGAATTTTCCCCCCGATTGCTACATAAATTCACACAATTATTTATATATATTATGTTATTACCTTATATATTTTAAATTAATTAATATTGTTATATATGTGTGTGTATGTGTGTATATATATATATATTCTTTCTATCAGGTGGACGTACCCTAGTTTAACTATTTCCCTTTTGCTGAAGCCTTAGTTGTTAGCCGTAGATTTTCACCAATAGAAATCTCCCAACTGAAAACTATTTTCCTTCTTGCATGTACATACTGCTTTATAAAACTCATTCTTTATCCCACTGATCCTCTTCCAAACCTCACCACAACTGTGAAAGGTCAGGAGTCTTTTATGTGCGAAGACACCAAAATATGTCCTCTTGTTCTCCTTTCACTTATTTATTGTCTTATTTCCTGCAAGTCAAAAGCTCTTAATTCTATGACCTGGTTACTTTCTAGAAAGGTTAAGTTAATTTCTACTTGCTCCCTCAAAATATACCAATTGTATTATAACCGGGGCAGTAATGAGTATTATCATTTTGAAAACTGCTGCCTCAGGTAAATTCTATAAACTGGCATCTTAACATGCCAGTTGTCCTAGTTGGGCTTCTCTCAAGATTCACCATAATTTTATATGCCTGTTAATTATGTTTTCAATTTTGTGATTTGTCCATTCATGAGGAGGGCCTGTTTATTTTGAGAAGCTTTGACTCTCTTTACCCTTTGTGCAGCTGGACTCTTTTTGTCCTTTTAATTACAGCATTTTCTTGGAGACAAGTGGGAGTTTTCATGCAAGTGACTCTATCAAAGTTTTCTTTTACTATTTTTCTACATTCCGTCAGAAGAGCTGACAAACATAGAATTCTGTTTTCACGCTTTCTAAAATTGTATTTTTATAATCTTTTTTCCAACACTAAGAGTAATGCATATACATTTTAGAAATTTTGGAATATACAAGAAACTGTAAAACATGAAAACATTCATTATTTTACCATCCAGGCTTACCTTATTTTGTTTTGTTTCTAGTCCTTTCTCTTTTTTACATGTACATTGAAGAAAAAAATTTTTGGATTTGATTAGAATATTATTTACAACTATATACAACTTTTGCAACTTATTTTTTTCCAGTTAGCATTATACTGATTGAAATTTCACATCTCATAAAGTGTTCTTTGATAATAAATAATCGTCTAGAGTATATTCAGGGATGATCTGAATCTTCTCTCCCCAAATTACTATTTGTGTGACCAGCGACTGAACAATCCTTTCTTCCTAGATTGGTCTGTGGTGCCTGCTTTATCCTTCTAGCATGTTCTTATCTAGTATCAGGCTATTTCTATGCCTTCTCTGCTATTCACGACCCTGAGCACAGCACCTATAATGGGCTCTTGTCTCTGTGTTTCTTTTTCTGAGCTCTCCAGGCTTCCTGGATTGAGCTGTAGTGGAAGCCAGGAAACTTGCAGAGGGGCCTGTCTGCCTTGTTAATATTTAACCCTGCCCCTGCTGGAAACCAGCTCTTACCTCCTCTTTGGTTTTTTTTGTTTTTGTTTTTTTGGCCTTTGCAGATGTTTTTTGATCATCCAGAGAAAAATGAGCCTTGGCCTCCAGACCCAATAAAGCAAACATTCCTCCCATGGAGAATAGCACTGGTTCCTAAGGACATGAAGGGCCTGCAGCCCCAGGGGGATTAGCCAAAAGCGGTAAGGAACACCTGGAGGCATGGGCTATGGGGGCAGCGAAAGGGTACATTCCTAATTAAAAAATGGGGTGGTAGAGTGTGCTGGCCAGGAGTCACAGAGTCTCGAGGTCTGACTACAGCTTCGCTATTGTCTTCACGTATTTGTTTAGTTCTGATTCAGTGGGGGGTGGGGGATAGGTGGTTTGCCTGTGTCTATAAACGGTAAGTGTGAGATTTGAAGTTATTCTGTGATTCAGCCCACCCTTTTTGAACACCTACTTTGTTCCAAGCCCTGCCTTTGGTACTGGGCATGTAGTGATGAGTAAACCAGGGCAGGAACCTTAATTTGAGATTTTCTTTCTGTTGTTTCAGGGTTGCCTTGTTCTTTATAGGTGACAATGTGGGTGGTACTGGATTCTTCTAGAAGCCCAGTGGGGGTAGTAAGGATTTATTGATATAGTAGCATCAGTTCAGTAATGCTTTATTGAAAACCCAGTCTATTTCGGGGACTGTGCCGGATGCTGGGGTTTCAGGCATGAGCCAGGAGGAGTTCCCCTCTAGCAGGGTCAGCAGGAAAAGCAAGCATTGCTAAACATTAGAAATGAAGGGGGAGTGGGTGCTCCATGGGAGGCCGGAAGCAGAAAGTTAACCCTGTCTGGTTGCCAGGCAAGTGGACAAGGGAGAGACGACAGCAGTGCAAAGGCCCAGAGGCTAAGACATCTGGAAAATCCAAAGCTTGATATGTTTTCCCAAAGAATTAGGGGAGAAAAATTTACTACTCCTTTCCTTCCGTTTGGGCTGCTTAGAGGGAACCTCCTCGGTCCCTGTCTCTTTAGAGAAGTTGGAGAGGGGATAAAGGGTCTTGGAGCTCTCTGTTGTCTATGAGCAGAAGCTCCAGCCAGAGAGTAGACTTGGAGCCTCAACAGAGGGTGGTGTCAGTCAGGACACCTGGGGAGCCCCAAGGTGAGCTTTCAGATGAGTGTCCCAGGGCCATGACCTTGAAGGCTAAGGCTGTCTTAAAGTGGCAGGACTCTTGTGCAGGGCTCTTTGGAGGAGCTCGTCTTTTCTGGGACCCTCAACCTTGGAGGATAGGTGCTGGCAGGAAGGTGACCACCATCCCCTTCCGAGCCTTAACGGTGAATCGGGTCCCGCCCCCTTATCTCCTGTCTCATTCACACATACACAAGGAAAGTTAAGTCCCAACTCTTAACTGCACCACTTCCAAATCACTCGTGCAACTTTGGAGATCAAATAAATAAGTAATAAATCGATAGATATAAAACCTCAGTTTTTTCAACTATAAATGGAGCCAATACAATTTGCTCTGCTTACGTGACAGGGTTATTCTGGGTCTCGTAAGGCTGTTACTGTGAAGGGGCCGCCTGAGGGGAAAACAGTGCCCGAGGGTGAGGGCTGGGGCATGCCCATGGCCAAGGGGGTTTTTCTGGGATTGCCTGGCTGAGTGACTTGTTCCTGCAGAGCCCCTAATTTCTGAGTCCTGTTTGGTCAATGCTGACTTTTCACTGTCTTTTAATACAGATGCCTTTTAGTGCCAAGACCATAAACTTTTAGAGTCAGACAGACCTAGGTTGGAATCCGGTTCTGGCACTGACTACCTGTTGACCTTGGAGAAGCCCTGTAACTCTGCTAAGCCTCAGTGTTTTCATTTTCTCCAGTGGGGCTGTGAATACTATGCCATAGTGTTGCAGTGAATACGAAATCCGACATTGCAGCTAGAGAGCCTACCATCTTGTAGGCACTTCTTAAATGCTCCATTCCCTTCTTCTTGAGTTCTTTAGCTCTCATAGCCATGGGATCAGTTTTCTGACCTGCCACAAAGCCCCCTCCCCCATTTCACGACCACACGTTTGAATTTTTCTCCCTCTGTGTACATTCTGTACCTTCCCACACTTCTGCAGCTCAAGGCAAGCGCCCATTCTCCCCAGAGCCACCTGTTCCTGAAGTCCGGGGTGGTGAGAAGCACGATTTGGTCTGCCCATAGATTCCAGGAATGGCCTCAATGTCACTTACATTAAAGAGTCTCAGATGAGGACGTGAGCTCGGGTTGATGAGTCATGGCCAGTGTTCCACTCTGCCATCTCTCCCTGTCCCGCACTGTCTCCACATGACCTCCAGCCAAAGGGGCTACTCTCTGGTCTCTGTTCAGAACACTTCCTGTGCCTTTGCAATGACTTAGTTCAAATACCATTTCTGCTGGTCATCCCAGAACTCCATGAGTGAGAGATTATTCTACAGAAAACCTAGGTAGAGACAGGTTTAGTAACTTATCCAAAGTCACCAAGAATGGGGGGGGAAACCCAGGTTTTGTGAATACCTAGTCCAGTACTTTTACCCCTTGTCCCGGATATCCTCAGCACTGGGCTCCATAGGAAAGAACTATGGATCCCTAGTGGGTTAGCAAAACCCCAGGGGTGATTGCTTAGACTCACTATGGTAAATAAACCCAGTTATTTAAGAAAGAATTTAATGTTTTCCAGAAGATACAGACATTGTTTGAGTTCAAAGTACTTCCATCTTCCATTCAGTTATGCAATAAATTCTGAGAAAACAAAGTAGGGCTTTACCCAGATATAAAGGGGACTATGAGGCTCTATTTTTGTAATAAAATCCATTTGCCAGAACGTTCAGCAGTTCTGTGAATGCTTATGCTGAAAAGGACATGGATTATGGAATCAAGTGCTCTTGGATTTGAACTTTAGTGCTACCGTTTACTCAGCTTTGTGATCCTAGGCACTTCTCTTAACCTCTCAGAGCCTTAGGCTGCTAATCTATAGATACGGAGATTGTAACACCTTCCTGGCTAGTGATGGTCAGGCCTCTCTGCACAGCTCAGGGGATGCCCTTCCTACTAGACTATCATGTACATACATGGTGCCGGCTGGAGCTGTACGTGGCGGGGCCCTGGTCTATGGAGAAATTAGGTGAAATAACATCTTACTTGATGCATCTTTGTTTTTATCTCCTTAATTTGTCACGTGTCTGCTGTCTTACCAAGATTTCCTCTCCTTTACCATGAGATGAGGCAGCTTCCTGCCACTTGATAGTACTCTTGCAGGGCACTCTGTGAAGCCAGGTGTTATGCTGTAAGCTAACTACTGGTTTTCTTCTCAAGCAGGAGTCCAACATCACAACCCTTAGAGAGATGCGTCACAGGTCTATGGCACTGTCTGTGGACAGAGGTCTGGCAATTTTAAAAGGATGCTGGGCCCCTTGGGATTTTAGGGAGTTTGGATTCTTGTGAGGTAGACCAGTCATCCTGCTCTTCCTTTTTCCTCCTGGTTTTCTCCTAGTTTTTCAAGTATGCATGTGTTCATTGAACACACAGCATAAGGCCCCAGGAGTCCAGTGGTGTGTAAGCTGTGGTTCCTGACCTCACCAAGCTCAGGGTGCAGTCAGGGAGCTAGACCAAGACAACACAAAACTAAGAGTTAGGGTGTAAAAATGAATGGCAGGAGAATACAGAAAGTGTTCATGGCTCGGAGAGGAAAAGGGGAGTGTCTGAGAACTGCTGTCTACATTCAAAGCCCAAACTGAGGCCGAATGTTTACTTCAAGTTGTTGCAGGCTGCAGGGCTGGTGGGAGGTAGACCAAAGGCTGGAAGTGAGTCTCCTCCCTCTGAATCCATTGCCCAGCTCATCACTCCACCTCTTGCCTGTCACTACTTTTAGATTTTGTTCACATCGGGTTTTTTTTGTTTTTTTTTGTTTTTTGTCTTTTGTTTTTTTTTGTCTCATCCTACCTTTTCTAGGCTTGTTTTCTGCTCAGAACAGAGTGGCTGCCCTGAACACATCTTTCATTATGATTCACACCAACCTGAAGAAAAAGTTCAGCTGCTGCGTGCTGGCCTTTCTCCTGTTTGCAGTCATCTGTGTGTGGAAGGAGAAGAAGAAAGGGAGTTACTATGATTCCCTTAAGTTGGAAACCAAGGAATTCCAGCTGTTGAGAGGTCTGGAGAAACAGGCTGTGATTTCCAGCAGCACCCAGAATTCCCCCAGGGGCCGCCAGGCCCTCAGCAGTCCCCGGGGCCCAGCCAAGGCCAAGCCTCAGGTCTCCTTCCAGGTGTGGAACAAGGACAGCTCTTCCAAAAACCTCGTCCCCAGGCTGCAGAAGATCTGGAGGAATTATCTGAATATGAACAAGTACAAAGTGTCCTATAAGGGGCCAGGGCCCGGTGTCAAGTTCAGCGCAGAGGCCCTGCACTGCCACCTCCGGGACCATGTGAACGTCTCCATGGTAGAGGCCACAGATTTTCCCTTCAACACCTCTGAATGGGAGGGTTTCCTGCCCAAGGAGAACATCAGGACCAAGGCTGGGCCATGGGGCACATGTGCTGTTGTCTCATCAGCCGGATCGCTGAAGTCCTCCCAGCTGGGCCGAGAAATAGGTGGGTTCTGGGGTGTTAGGGCTGCTCCTCTGGGGCCGAGTGTGTGGTTGGGACTAGAGAGGAGCAGCTCAAGTAGGGCTTGTGACCTAGCACAGTGGGCCCACCGCAGAGTTTTGCAGCCTTCTCATGTGACTGAGAGGTATCCCGGGGGCAGCCGAACGGGTGGGGATCCATCCAGGCTCCCGGCATCTTTATCAGTGAGAACAGCTTTGCTTTTCTCTGTTTTAAATAGTGCTGTTCTGGGGCGCCTGGGTGGCTCAGTTGGTTGGGCGACTGCCTTCAGCTCGGGTCGTGATCCCGGGGTTCTGGGATCAAGCCCCATATCGGGCTCCCTGCTCAGCGGGAAGCCTGCTTCTCCCTCTCCCCCTGCTCGTGCTCTCTCTCTCTGTATCTCTGTGTCTCAAATGAATAAATAAAATCTTTGAAAAAGAATAGTGCTGTTTTACAGAAGATATTGTTGGAAAAGTGAGTTCTGCCACTACCGATAGGCACCACACTGGAACTGACTTCTAAAAATAATAGAAGCACTGATTTCTCCGATCTCTTCTGGTCCTGAAATTCTGTAATTTTACTGGCTAGTTGAGGATTAATTGTCTCTCTTGGCTTTAACTACCTGAATAATTTTCAGCCTTTCTGTTTGAGGATCATTAATTAGAGTAGGAATTCTTAACTTGGGGACTGTGGACCAACTTTAGGGGGTTCACGAATCCCTAAAGCTGTGTGCAAAATCCCTGTGGATTAGGTGTGCATACAGTGTGTGTGTGTGTGTGTGGTAAGTCAGTCTGTACATTTTGCCAGAGAAAAAGTCCATAGCTTCCAGTCGATTATTCTCAGAGGTGTCTGTGACCCAGAAAAGGCTAAATAAAAGTCACCGGTCAGAATATATCAACTTGCTTTTTTTTTTTTTAAATCCTTCACAGTTAATAAAGATGGAAGGTCTGTCCATGTTTGTAAACATGTGTACAACACAAAGCTTAGGACTTTGGGCTTAGGGCTCCCTAGTTCCCTTATTTTGAGAGAATGTGTTTTCCATTATTGTGAAATCAATCAGGCTAAAGGAAGCATAGCACAGAAAGCCTTGCTCTTCTTGCAGGCTCTGGAAGGTACTGGAGCAGGTGAGGTCATACGTCTCCTGTTTTATTCCCTTCCTGTGACTGCCAGGAAAAAGGGTCTGAAACCAAGCACAGGCTCTCAAAGGAAGAACAGGAGAGGAGACCCAAATTGGATTCTCTGGAGCAGGAAGAAGTGGTGAGATCACATTCTGTGCCTTCCCAAATAGGCAGCACTCACTAATAAAGGCTGCCAAGATAACTGGCCCTGCCCCAACTTTTGCTTTTGCCTTTTTGGTTTCTTTTGGACTTTGTTTTCTAGAAGCTCAGTGTGACTGGTTTTTGTTCACCCATAATGTAACTAAATTCCTTTCTTTCTTCCTGATTTTTGCTCTATAATGGTAATGTTTCGAATATCCCAGGGGCTAGCGGATCCTCTTCTTCATGTAAACTCATCACTGACAGCCTGGCCAGAACTGGGTTACAGTTTCCAGCAGAGCCCGATACTTCTATGAATCAGAACTACAATCTTGATGCACTCCGTGAAAGTTTGGAGTGATTTACGTACACAGTAAAATAAACTTTTTCTGTAGACTACAGTTAGAATTTCAAGTATGTATTTCCCTAGAAAGACTTTGCTCTTGAGATGTAACGAACATTGCATGTTGGACTTCCAGTGTTCTGCTCTTTCAATAGGGCATTCCCCTGGGCATTTAGTCTAACAAATGTTTTAAGGAATTCTATTCATTCTTGTATTCATTCATGGAGCTTTCAACCTCATGGAGCAGGAGCTTAGAATACAAACGGGAAAGAGACTGGGAAGGCCCTTTGCTGAAGGCCTGGGAGTATCAGGCAACATGACAGGCCCATGGCCTTTCCACTATATCTGCAATTTGTCCCACTTATTGCTGACTATTGAGCATATTGGATGGCTTTAAATTGTTTGCTCTTACAAATTGTACTGCTAACAGGGTTTTTGTGCAGATGACTTAACTGCCTAAAGGGGAAATATCCACAGCCATGGGGCTAGACCAAAGTAAGATAAGTTTTGTGGCTCTTTTTTGTCCATTGCAAAATTGTTTACTGGAGGGATTGTAATAATGTACTGTGTCTCCAGCAGTCCCTCAAGCCAGCCAGCGGTGGGCACGGCCATTTTCAATTATTTTTGATACATGTACCCATAAGGTATCTTAGATTGGCTTGAGTTTTCATGTCAAACAATAGCATATTTGTAAAACATTATGACCGACAGGAGTAATGCTTATCAAGCACCTGCTGTGAGCCTAGTGCGCCTTGCCTTTGAATCCTTCCAGGAATTCTGTGATACGGGGACGATTATTGTTCCCAGTGAACTGGCGAGCTAAATGTTGAGTCTCAGAGATCATACAACTGGTGAATAGTGGACTGGGACTTAAAACTGGGGCCTTCGACTCCAAGGCCCACATGCTCATCCCCTCTGCTCTTGGCGCCTGTGGTTGTTGCTTTATAATAAAATTTCTGGTGTGATGAATCCCTTGTCAGGTTAAAAAAAAATCCCATGATATTCTTGCTTCCTTGCTCTCCTACAGGGAAGGAGAAGCGCATTCTGGGTTGAGGCAAAAGCAAGAAGCAAAGGCTGCGTGGGGGAAAAGTGCAGAGTGTGTTGGGCTGGGATGTGGGACCCTGCAGGGTGAACGGGGCTGAGGAGTAAGGCCAGAAAGGTAGGCAGGGGTCAGCTCCTACAGAAAGTTGACAGTCACAATCGAGACTTAGGGTTTCATTCTTTAAGCCAGGAGTCCTAGAAGGAATTTGAGTGAGCAGGTAATGGGATCATGTGTGTTTTGGAGAGATTTCTCATTTCTCTGAACCCCCTTGTCTATGGGGACTGCTATGTAATCTATTATTAGGGATTACTGCCGCTTCCGGGTGAGAAGTGCCAGGCCTGTTTGAGCGGTGATCATGGTGGTGGAAAGAACGGGTTTGATTTGAGAAGAGACAGAAATTGGTGTCTAACTAGAAATGACCTTGAGTGACAGGTGGGAGCCGGGGTTTCTAGCCTGGAAGCGGGCGATCTCATATTACGGAGGAGCATGCTTCTGGAGGAGGACAGGTGTGTGTCGGAGGTGCTGAATCTGAAGTATTTGTGGATTTCCCTGAGTAGATATCTATGCGGTTGGGTATTTGATTCCAGGGAAGGGTCAGGCGGGAGGAGATGAGATTGAGGAATCATTTGTCCCGAGGTGACAGTTGCAGTCCAGGAGAGAGGGCTGAGGAGAAAGCCTAGGGAAAGTGTACATTTAAGAGACAGGGAAAAGCACAGGGAAGGCAGAGCCATTCAGAAGGCCGGTGAGAAGGCCCAGGGAGAAGCAGGTGTTTGCCATATGATGGAAGGCAAGGGGAGTGGAGTTTGGGCAGAGTTGGGGCAGATGGGGTTCTTGTGCAGAGTGAGGACTGAGAAGACATCCTTGGGTTGTGGAGCTCAGAAAGTATGATTCTTTATATCAGGGGTCAGCGAACGTTTCCTGTGAAGGGCCAGACAGCAAATACTTTTGGTTCTGAGGCCATACAGTGTCTCTCACAACTCCTCAGCTCGGCTGTCTTCGTGCAAAAGCAAACTAGACCATAGTAAATGAATGGGCCTGGCTATGTTTCAGTAAAACTTTATTTACAAAAACAGAGAACAGGCCAGATTTGTCCTTCAGGCCATAATTTCCCGGCCCGGATCTATATTATATCGAGTTTACCTAACCAGGACCAGAATATAGCCTTCCAAATATGATTATATGATTCATTAAGCTACTTTGAAAATATAAAAAAAGCTTGGTCTAAATTGTGATAAAATTTCTTTCATAACAATTTCCAGCTACTTAGAGTTACCATACCCAGAGGCAGTGGATTTGGGCGTATTGATGAACTCACTAAGGAGCCGATTCTGTTGAGTAGTCTAGGCATGCAGTTGTATCCTGTGCATATCATGGCGCATTTATTTCTGCATTTTCTAATTTGTGTCTTTTCCTGTCCTCTAATTCTAAGTTCAACCGAAGTGGTGGCCCCTGTTTTCTGCAGCCTTCCCCTTGCAAAGGCTCGTTTGCTGGGCTCCTGGGAGCTGTGGATTTTTCCTGGTGACTTCCTGGAGGCCCATTTGATTTCAGAACTTCTTCCGCCTTCAATAGCAAAGGACAGTTTGGCCAACAAGGATGCTCTCCTCTTTCTTTATGAACTTAGTGGCCTGTTTGAAAGTTTTCTTCTTTGACTGATTTTTTTTTTTTCTTCTTAGAATAAAGTCCAAATTTCATACCTGGCCTCCACAGCCTGTGTGGCCTGGTTCCTGCCAGCTTTTGTAGCTACGTCTTTTCTTTCTCTTGCCCTCACGCACTTGTCTCCAGCCTCACTTGTCTCCAGCTGAGTCCTTATTGCCCTTGGGGTCCCGACAGTGCCGCATCCTCTGGCTGGAATATACTTCCCTGAACCCTTCCCGTGCTCTGCCCTCCTTTGCGTTCAGCTCCGAGGCGTGTCCTGAATCATCACTCTCTCCAGAGGAGATTCCCTCAGCATCTCTGTCACACCGCTTAGTTTATTTGTGCCATAGCATCAGCCACAGTCCGTCATTATCTCAAGTGTTGGTGGTTGTATTTATTGGCTCCCTCCTTGCTGTAGATTGCAAAATCTCTGAGAGCAAGGACCTTGTCTTTCTTGTTCACGGCCATTGTCTCCGGCACCTAGAACTGTGCTTGATGGGGAGGAGGGGCTTAATCAGGATTTGTTGAGTGAACAAAAGCATTTTCTTTTCTTATGGTCAATACCAAGGATGGATCGTCAGCCTCCGGTGCTGGGTGTTCTCCATTACGCCTCCCAACCCACGCTCCTCCCTTTTCTGTTGGACTCTGTGCCCGCGGATATTGAATTTGGGACTGTGTCAACTGGGCTTCCTGGCCCTCTGGCTTTTATTTGGGTCTGGACAACAGAAGTGATGTTCCAAAACTGAGAAGGAGGAGAGTGAAGTCGGGGTGTCTGTCCCCCCAGCTCTCTCCTTGCAGAATACCCACGGGCTGCTGCTTTCCCTCGGCTCAAAGTTCAGCCCCTTTCAAGCAGCCTCTCTGTCTGAGGCCTGCTCTCTCTCTCTCTCCCCTCAGGCCAAGAAGTCAGAGGGAAGGAGGAAAGAGCAGATGGGGTATTGATTCCCTTCTTGCCGGCTGGACGTTAGCAGGAGCCATGTTCCCCTCAGGGCCACCACTCCCGACAGGTGGCCATCTTCAGTTCAGGGCCCCTGCTCTTCTGGCCACATCAGATGTGGGGGCTTGTAGGGGCCGCTTCTGCAGCCCACCCCGGGGTATTGGCCATTCCTTGTTGATTTCTTGAAATCCTACCTACAACGTTGTAAATAGTCCTTTTATTCAGTGACTTTTCTTCTCAGTGACTCCATCTGACTTTGTCATGTTGTGGTGCTGGGATGCCCACACTAATAATTGGCTCAACTGTGAAATGGGGAAGCTGACCGAGTGACGTTTCTGATGGATCTGCGTTTCTGGTGTGATTACTGCTGGGTCACTTTTGCAGACAGTGACTGATACTGACAAACGTGTTGCAATCTGAGTTGTGTAAAGGTGTGCCTTCTGCCCTATTTGAAGTTCAGGGTGCCTGCCCTGTAAGCTGATAAAGTTTGGACTCTGCACATCTCATGTAATTTTCAAACCATGTTGATGAAATTTGCCCTAGGATTGAGACAGGGTTGTTTTTGTGACTAGATGGTATGTCTAGATTCCTGAGGTTCAAAACATACGTTAGAAATGAAAGAAAGAGGGAGGCTTTCATCCCTTAATTCTGTGAGTATTCTTTTTTCAGATCATCTTGTATTGAGCCACCCCAAATAAATTTCCCACAGGGAGGGAAATAGAACAACAGAAAATTGGGCTGACCTCCAAACCTTGTGCAGATTTCAGTGGTGATCCTCAAACTTGCTTGATCAAGTCAGGTTGGGATGAGCTCCTAGGAGGTTGGCTCAAGGTTGAGATAGATCTTAAAAGTCATTAGTTCTCTCCCCCCAGAAGATTGGTCAGTGCCACATAGAGAAACTTCTCCAAGTCTTCCAAACTCTGCTGAAACAGCTACGGTCACAGGGAACTAGAGCCAGGGAGTGAATGGATTTTTAAAAACATGGTCTGTTTGATCTTGCCTGGATTTAGGACATTGTTTCTGGCAAAGAGTTTTTCTTTTTCGGTAGAAAATGTGACCTCCTTTTCCACCTCTGCCACCAACCAGGCTTGTGACCCTTCCTGGGCCTCAGATTCCTAATAGCACACTTAGGGAGTTGTCTTGGTAACCATAGTACATCCCCCCGATTTGCTGAGCACTGCAAGCTTCTCAGAGTGCTATGAGGACTTTGCACTTGTGGGTGACACCGAGCTTATGGTAGCATCTTCCTTTTTCTGACAGGGATGGAAGTATGACCTACTGGTAATACCAAGAGAATATTTGGGTTGCTCCTTTGGTGGCTGGGATAGCTATTCCACATGAGGTAGCACACCAGCCCTGGTCACCTCTCTGCCATGTTAAGGCACACTGGAGTCATGGAAGGGATTTCAGGGATGCCCGGTATGAGCCTTGTTAGCTTCTGCAGTGGCCAGGCGGACGGTCGGTCATCTCTGTCTACAAACTGTGCCAGGTTGCCCCATACAAATATGATCCTTTTCCCCTCTGATGGGGATCATGATGGGATAAAGACTGAGAAGTATGATTCTCTTGCCCCTCCCCTTCTTCCTGCCCTCTCTCCCTCTAGAACTTCCTCTTTTTCTGCATGTTGCTGGCGCTCATCACCTCTTTTCTGTTTCCTTGTGGTTTATAGACGATCATGACGCAGTCCTGAGGTTTAATGGGGCGCCCACAGCCAGTTTCCAACAAGATGTGGGCACGAAAACCACCATTCGCCTGATGAACTCTCAGGTAAAATTTCTTCTGTGCAGATCTGGAGTGAGAGAAGGACCACAGTGTGGGCTCTAATGTAGACCCCACTTGCTGGGAGCACATCAGAGCCGCCAAGTTAATTAAGTCCCGTGACCTTCCTGAGTCCTGGAGTCCAAGACCCCAAGTGGGGATGTGTTCATGATAAAGCCCCTGTGGCATTAGGTGGCATTAACAGAGGTGTCCACTGCCCCGAGAAAGGAGATTTCTGCTGTCCCCATAGCTGCCAGGTTTTATCGGGAATATTGCATGAGGGACAACATGGCAGAGAATATCAGAGTGAGGGATGCTGGGGAACGTAAGTGAAGCAATGAATGTGGGCATGTTTGATAAGCTGTAAAATAGTATACAAGTATCGTAACACATCATCACTAGATGATGATGTGTTACATGGCGCTCGAATTCACGTATTGCCTCATGAATTCCCCTAGAGAATTAGTTTCCTGAAGTATTTCCAGGTGGTATACACTGATTTCTCAAAACTAATGGGGACTTGAGAAATACTCTTGCCACAAAGTTCTGTTAATAGATTTTAATTAGTGGTAAAAAACAAACAAACAAAAACAAAACTGGATGACACGTATATCAAAACTAGCGTGAGAGGTCTGCAAACCCATTCACCTCACTCACGACCATCGATGTTTATTGTTTTCTGCATAAACACATAAACCTCAGGTGTTTTTATGTCAATGTATAATCTCTGTACATTGCCTAGGACTCCATGGGCATGGAGCACACCCTGGGAGTGAACTTAAGTGCCCTTTCAGTACTGTTCCAATACACCTGCATTTCTCCACTCCTCTGCCATAAGGCTCCACTTCCGTTTCTCTCAGATCTCTTCACTGCTTGCCCCTCAGGAACTCACCAGCTGGGCAGAAGCTGCTTCTTGCATGGTCCACTTTCCATCTGAGGCCCACAGTGCTAGGAACCTTTGTATGAAGGAACTTGGATTGATCAACTTAACTTCTTTGCAAGTGGCTGCCATCTTGTTTTCTGTTCTTTCTCAAATCCCTTGATGATGATATCACTTTCTGTCGTTGTAATATCCTCAGTGGACTCTATATGCTTTCAATTCCTATTTATTATTCAACCTTATTATTTTGGGCTTTTATATTACTTCTATTATAAACTCTAAGAGGGCAGATTAAAAGAAATAGATTGGTCAGCAAGAGACTCTCTGGAGGACATGGCACCAGAGCTAGACTTTGAAATATGGGTGGGATTTGGAGAAATAGTAATAGGGAGGCATTCTAAGAAGTGGTATTGGCAGGACAGAGACACATGGGAAATGAGGGAGATATCCAAACAGGTCTGGCTGGTGTGGGGGTGGGGATGGATTTGTGTTGCCCTATAGAGGGAGATGAGGCTGGAGCTTCATGGCTGCTTGGACTCTGGCAAGTCTAGAAAATAAGGCAGAGGAGGTGGGATGAGCTTTCCCTTCTTTCTCCTTTTCCTTCTCGTGCCCCAGAGAAATCCTGGAGCTGGAGAGCACCTCAAGAAGTGCTACAGTGTAACCTCTATTTCTGAATCTACCTTTGCCTCCCTCCCCCCAACCCTTTCACAAATATGGACAGGACTGAGTAGAATGTGATAGTCAATACATAGATCTGCAGTCAGCCTGCCTAGGGTTGAAACCCTGGCTCTGTCTCTTAATAGCTAAGTGATCTTGCGTCAGTTACTTATGCCTCCATTTGTTCATGTGTGGAGAGGGGAGAATAGCAGTACCTTCTCCACAGCACAGGGTTGTTAGGAGGAATGAGCGAGAAGACCATGCAGAGCAGCTAGTCCCCGGCACGTACGTCAGTGGAGGATAGCTACTCTTACGTTCATGTGGGCCGACGCTGAGATGGGTTTGGGGAGCCCGGCAGGCTGGGCCCCTTCGCGGGCCACCACCTACGGCTACAGTCAATCCTCACGCAGAGAGATAGACAGTTGCAACGGGGAACTACAAGGGACAGGATCAAGGTGCTCTCAGAGCCCATATCAGGGACGTCAGGAACCTTGAGGAGATGAGACAGCCGTGTAGGCGTGGAGAATGAGAAGGGCTAGGGTCTCTCCTGAAGAGACAACAGCCTAGGTGAGGCCACGTGTGGGAGGGGGCAGGCCAGGGCCCCGGGGGCCGGGGGGTGCATGGGGGGTGTGGTGAACACGGAGGCTGAAGGTAAGGAGGAGCCACATCCTGGCGCTGTGGTCAGGAGATATTCTCTGTGGCATGACCAGACTCGCACTCTGCAAACATTGCTGGCGTCCATCTGCTCAGAGGCCCTGTGGCCCTGGGAGAGACACAGTCAGGAGGCTCTTGCGGGGAAAGACTGGCAGTTGCTGCAGATGAGAAATGAGGGTGAATGTGAGAAGGGCCTGCATCCGACAGCTATTTGGCATGTGTGGGCCAGAGGCGTTCATGGGGCTGCGGCGAGGGGTGAAGGGAGAGGGGCCGCCAATGCTACTAGGTTGCTGGCTCGTGTGGCTGGCCAGCTGGAGCACCTGGTATTGCAAGCGCTTGAAGACATTTTGGGTTGTGTGGGCTGGGGTCAGACGGAGGGCGGGATAAAAACTGTGGTTCTGGAGAGCGTTGATCTGAGCTGCCCGTGGAGACCTGTGAAGAGATGTCAAGCAGGCAGCTGTACAGAGGGGGCCGGAGTTCCGCGGAGAGCTCTGCGCTGGGGGGCAGAATTTACCAGTCATCTGTATCTGAGGCAGTGAGACGGTGGGGCCGAATGAGAGCACGAGAGACCGCGTGTAGACAGAAATTCTCCGCAGGGGCTTTGGGTAACAAACACAGGAAGAGGGGGGTAGTCAGCACCGAGGTGAGGCCGAAAAGCACTGTTCTCTCTTCGGCAAGAGGGAGGCCACCCGTGACCTCCGGCAGCAGCTGCCTGGGAGAGCCGCGGAGCCAGAAGCCACACTGGGGCGTAGGGTCAGGAGTGCGTGCCACAATGAATGTGAAGAATGAGGAAGGCCAGTGCGGGTAGTTCTTTCAAGAAGGCTGGCTCTGAAGGGCAGAAGAGCAGTAGGGCAAGAGCCATAGAGTCGAGGGTTCCAGGGCCTGTTTCTGTTCTTTTCATTTTTTTTTAGATCGCAGAGAATTGAGTACGTTTGAAAGTCAGTGGGAAGACAGTCACAAGAGGGCACATACTGTATGCGTGTACCTACGTGAGGTTCCTGGAGGAGTCTGATTCATAGACAGAAAAGTAGAACGGTGGTTTCCGGGGCCTGGGGGTGGTGAGGAATTATCGTTTAATGTTTAGAGAGTTCCAGTTTGGGTAGATGAGGAAGTTCTGGACATGTATGGTGGTGATGGTTGTATAACAGCATGAATGTACTTAATGCCACTGAGCTGTACCCTTCAAAATGGTGGATATGGTACACTTTCTGTTATGTGTGTTTTACCACCATAACATTTTTTTTTAAGTCAACGAGGAGAAACCAGTTGATAGAGGGGAAAATGAATATACTGAAGAGAAGGGACAAAAAGTAAGTGATGGGGAGGAGGGATTGACCTAAAGCCCCACCGAGGATCAAGCCCCACAGGAGGGAAGTCAGAAGGGAAGAAGGCTAGGAAAGGTACCTGGAGGCCATTTGTAGTGGAAGGATGAAAGGGCTGCTATTTTCTCCGCAGAGTAGGATGTAGAGAAAGGGAGGCTTTTTGTCAGGAGGCTGATGGGAAGAGGGGTTTCCGTAGAGGAGGTTTGAGCAAAGAAGGCTTGGCGTGAGGAGAGCAGAGGAAGGAGCCAGCCAGAGGAACGGAGCAGGATTTCCAGGCCGTGCGGACCACTTTGGGGCTGGAGAGCATGACTTCAGAAAGAATGGGTATGACCTCCAGATTGGTATGTGGCAGCAATCGAGAAGAGGGAGCATGGAGGAGCCCTAAAAAATCTCTTGGGTTTGGGAGGCTACCCCCTTCTTAGGCATCTTTTCCAGGTGGTGAGTGAAGAGGTGAATCTCCATCCTGCAAAGATTTCATTTAAGGCCATGGTAGGTTTGTCTAAGCAGCTCTCTTCCAGGTTGGGGAGAGAAAGCCCACGTCTCGTGCATGGCAACAGGGTGTCCTGATTGGACTTCAACCGGGACATTCTCGGATCACTCCCGGGGGCTTATCCTGAGACCATAGCTGGTGCCGCTTGTTCAATACTTCTTCTGTCTGAGGCCCATACGTACCTTATCTCATGGGACCTTTAGGGCAATGCTGTGAGGTGTGATTACCAACCACTGTTTTCTGTGAGGACACCAAGGTTCAAAGAGTCTGAGTGACTTGCTCAGGGGAGGGCAGAAAGGACTCGAGAGAGGTGGGATTTGGATGGAGGTTGGTTTGCCAATTTTCTGGAAGAGTTTGTGTAGAACTGGTATTTCTCTTTTTTTGAATGTTTGGTAGAGTTGCCAGGAAAGCCTTCTAGGCCTATAATTTACCTTGTGGGAAGTTTTTTAGCTACAAATTCAATTTCTTTAATAGATTTAGGACTGTTCGTGTTGCCTGTTCCTTTCTGACCAAGCTTTGGCAATTCGTGTCCTTCAAGGAATTTGTTCATTTCTTCTAAGTCATTGAATTTATTGGCATAACGTTCATAATACGCCCTCATTATCTTTTTGTAAAAGATTTACTTATTTCCCTCATCATCCTTTTAAATGTCTGTAGAATCTGACGTGATGTCTGATGTGATAGGACATCCTTTGTGGTGATTCAGGCAGTACTGGAATTCACAGAGCTTAAAAGGACTTTGAAGATCAACAAGCCATGAATTCATTCCAGAAGTTCCTATTTAATCACCTGCCCTGTGCCAGCCTCTCTGTAGAGAGCTGGAATTGAGCAGCCCACAACAGCAGTAAAACAGAGACAGACATGCTCCCTGCCCTTGTGGAGCCCAGGGTCTCCTTGGGTCATTTCATTTTCCAAGTGACACAACCCAGGCCTGGGAAGAGAAGGTGGCCTGCACAATGCCCAGAGGGTAATGGCAGGCCCAGGGCAGGATGAAGGCCTCCTCACA